CTGAGATTCGTTGATTAATTTATGCTTTTCAAGGTGGCTACGAACTGCCTCGGCAATTATTGATTCCATAAATTTTCCCACTATGGAGGTTAGGCTTATTGGTCTATAGTTCGAAGCTAAGGACCTGTCACCTGCTTTGAAAATAGGTATCACATTTGCCATTTTCCACTTATCTGGCACCATGCCAGTTTGTAGTGATATGTTGAAAAGATTAGCCAAAGGTGTGCTAAGCTCCTCTTTACATTCCTTTAGAACCCTTGCATACAGTTCATCAGGGCCTGGGGATTTGTTAGATTTTAATTTATCTATTTGCCTAAGGACCATGTCACTTGTGACCCTAATCGTGCTCAATTTATTATCGTCCTGTTCTACATAATTTATCATTACTGGAATATCGCTGGTATCCTCCTGTGTAAAAGCTGAGAGGAAGTATGTGTTAAAAATTCTACACATTTCCTTATCACTGTCAGTGAGCTGACCCGAGGAACTTTTGAGTGGGCCTATCTTGTCCCTGATCGTACTTCTGTATACCTGAAAGAATCCTTGTGGGTTAGTGTTCGATTCTCTTGCAACTTTAACCTCATAAACTCTTTTTGCTTTTCTAATTCCCTTTTTTATTTCTCTCTTAACTGAATATATCGATTTCTTAATTGCCCTCTCCTCTTTTGATTTGCCTATATATGCCTCTCTTTTGACCAATCAGATATTATAATCTTTGTTCATCCATTAGGATCATTTTTGTTGATCTGATTTCCCTATTTGGAACATAATTGACTGAGCAGCTAGAACTGCCCTGGAAAGCATCTTATCGGCACCATCACCACCTACCTGACCCTTAGTCAGGTCATTCCAGTTCAGCCCACCTAAGTAATTTTTCAGTCCTATGAAATCAGCCAAGCGAAATTCAGGGACGGAGACTTGATTGCCGTTATTAGGGGAATTCCATGATATATTAAAACTGAGTGATTTGTGATCACTTTCCCCAAGCTCATCATTAACCTCAAGATTATTAATTAGTGTCTCCCTACTGGCAAGGACCAAGTCAAGGAGGTTATTTCCTCTAGTTGGCTCTGTCACAAACTGTTTTAAAAAACAATCCTGGATCGTATCAAGAAAGTCACCTGACTCTAAATTTCCTGTCAAATTGCTCCAGTCAATCTGTCTATAGTTATAAATAAAGACAATAGATCAGGTCAGATGAACATCAAAATGGTATACAATACCGACAGGTTGTTAGGTAAGACACATATGCAACAGTTAGACAACTTTATTCCGAAACGTTTCGCCTACACAGTAGGCTTCTTCAGTCGAATACAGAAAGTATTCGACTGAAGAAGCTACTGTGTAGGCGAAACGTTTCGGAATAAAGTTGTCTAACTGTTGCATATGTGTCTTACCTAACAACAGATCAGGTCAGCAAACAAAGGGGGACAGCAGAGGACAGCAAGGGACTAGCTCCCTTAAGATTTACTATACTAATAGCAGGAGTGTAAGAAATAAGATAGATGAGCTAAGATTAATTGCAAGTGCAGGAAACATAGATATTATTGCTATAACAGAGACCTGGCTCAGTCTGAAAGATAGAGAGATGCCCTCTGAATGTCACATACAAGGCTATAAATTATTCCACACTGACAGGGTCAACAGGAAGGGTGGTGGAGTAGCGATGTACGTCAGAGACAATTTAAATTGTTGTGTTAGACAAGATATAAAAGTAGAAGCGTCAGCCACTGAATCTGTTTGGTTACAGCTTCTCGAGGGCCGAGAAAAACTAATTTTGGGTGTGATTTACAGGGCCCCATATCTTGAAAGGGAGTGCAGTAAACTTCTATGGGACGAAATTCGTAGGGCATCTACATACGAAAATGTTGATATGCAACCTGCTTGTTTCTCACACACACCCATACCTCTATTTTCGATCAGTTTAAAATCATAGGCATTTCACCAATGGCCTTCTCAATTGAGTTTGCAAGTGCTACCACCCCAGCCTCAGAGAGATGTACCCCATCCCTTGCATACATATCATGTTTGCCATAAAAGTTGTTCCAGTTGTCAATGAATGGGATTGCAAGTTCCCTGCAGTATCTGTCTAGCCAGCAATTTACTCCAATTGCCCTAGACAGCCATTCATTTCCTACCCCCCTTCTAGGCAAGATGCTACATATGATTGGGATCCCTCCCTTAAACTTAATGAAATCTATAGTTGACCTGTACTTACCTAGCAGCTCTTCTCTCCTACCCTTCCCAACATCATTTCCACCAGCACTGGGACAAATAATGGGCTCGTTCCCATTACCTGACATGATATTATCCAGCCTGTAAATATGTCCCCAACCCCCCCGCTCCAGGGAAAGACACCTGTCTTCATTTCTATTTCCTTTTACAAAAAGCCGGTCAATATATTTACCTGAGGTCCCCAAACCCACAAGAATGCGCTTAAACCTTGTTAGCGGGGCAGTGACCCATACCTTCGCGGGCCCACAAAAGTACATTCATCCTAAAGAACAGAAAAAGCGTTTTTCCTACTTCAGTTTTCACTCTTAATTTCCTTTTTTCTGATTCTCCCCCGTTAGGTTTTCCCTCGCCACTTGTAGCAGGTGCTGGACTGCCCCTAAATGCGGGTGCCTTTGCTACCCCCCCACCTCACCCTCCTCACAGCGGGATAAAAATGCACCTCACTGCTAGAATTTTTCCCCAAAAACTCCAGCCACCTCACACTCTCTCCCAGACCCACTGAGGGGGCCCTTCACCTTTTTTTTATTCCTCCTGGAGAAGCAAGACTCCTCCTTAACTCCCAAACCTCAATTTTTAAAACACTGCAGAAGCAAGCCATGCTTTGTAACCGCCCCGTAACCCCCCAAAAGCAGCTCAGGGTCGTGACCTCACGTGACGACGACCATGACGACGCAAGAGTTTGCATAAAGGGGGGAAAATCAGAATGGGGGCACGTCACAAGCGGAGTTCCTCAGGGGTCAGTGTTGGGCCCCTTGTTGTTCACAAAATTAAATAAAAAGACATAATGAGGGAATAAATAGTGACATAACAATTTGCTGATACAACCAAAATTGGCCTCCAATTATTCTAATGAGGCATTAGAAACACTCCAAAATATTTGAATGATGATGAAATGGTCGGAGAAGTGGCAGATGGTTTAATATTGACAAATGCAAAGTTTAAATGTTGGACAGGCAATAAAACATGCCCCATATTTAAATAAAAAGTTTAGTCTTAATACTATGATTTCGAAAAGGATTTAGGGGTTCTGGTTAGCAGTAATCTAAAACAAGACAACAGTGCATTAGTGTTAGCAATAAAGCTAACAGAATTCTTGGCTTCATATCATGAAGTATAAATAATAGAAGTCCTCAGGTTGTTCTTCAACTCTATATATCCTTGGTTAGGCCTCATTAGACTAGCTGCTCAGTTCTGGTCACCGTATTACAGAATGGATATAAATGCTCTGGAAAACGTACAAAGGAGGATGACAAAGATGATCCCATGTATCAGAAATCTTCCCTATGAGGATAGACTGAGGGCCCTGAATCTGCACTCACTCGAAAGGCGTAGAATTAGGGGGATATGATCGAGGTGTATAAATGGAAAACAGGAATAAATAAAGAGGATGTAAATAGCGTGCTGAAAATTTCCAGCCAAGACAGGACTCGCAGCAATGGTTTCAAGCTGGAAAAATTCAGATTCAGGAAGGATATAGGAAAGCACTGGTTTGGTAATAGAGTTGTGGATGAGTGGAACAAACTCCCGAGTACAGCTATTGAGGCTAAAACGTTGTGTTGTTTTAAAAATAGGTTAGATAAATGCATGAGTGGGTGTGAGTTGGACCTAACTAGCTTGTGCTTCTGGGTCTGGTGCAGTGCTCCATCCTTGAGTGGAGGACCAGACTGGGTGGGCCATTGGGATAATCCGGGGGGTGGGTCGTTGGTCTAATCGGGGGGGGGGGGACATGGACCTGCTCCGCTTGGGTCAGTAGGCCTGTTGCAGTGTTCCTTCTTTCTTATGTTCTTGTGTTCTTAACAATACCATTGATCGTATCTCTCTTATTTATGCTCATCTTCCACGTCAATTATGTCTTCCCTCATTCTAAATCTTACGCGAGAATGTATGTTAAGGGATTTCGATCTCTCTTGCAATGGAAAATTTCATAGGCGAATGAATTAATTATTCCGATGTTTAGCGCTTCATGTAATACAATCAAACGTAAGTCGCATCTATCATTTCTTACTCTGAATTTACCCACTTTGAATTCACTGTATTCCAAGTGTACGTGTCAGGAAGTGCCGGTCACTTCCCCGGGATGTTACCGTCCGGTTGGTGGCGCTCTCCGTGACGTATATTGTACCCAGGTGGGAGGACTCCCAGGCTTAACCACGTCAATAAGCGAGTCTTTATACTCCCCACACCCCGAAAAGCCACTAATCCAGTTTCTTATAGATCCATGCAATTACTGACCAGACACATCGGGTGATGTGTCGAAGGACCTGCCTAGTATGGGCCAGTAGGCCTCCCGCAGTGTTCCTCCTGTCTTATGTTCGTACGTGTGACTAAGCGAGCAACGTTTTTAAGTTGTCGTACCACACCAGCAACACCTCACCTCCTCATAGTGTTGATTTAAAGATTCATTCTTCCTCAACTTTTTTCTTCTTTTTTTAACATCTTACCGGTTTTGTTGTAATATTTCCGGTTTAATATCTTAGCTAACTGTAAAAAATAATGTAACTGGTGTATACAAAGTGACGTGTGGCAATGATTTATTTATACACTACGTGTATGTCTCTCATTGTATAGTTGCTAAGAGTTTACTTTAATCCCTACTTTATGTATCAAAGTATTTTGACTGGTTGTGAACGTGTTACAAGCAGCCTTAATGATCTTCGTGTAATCGATTGGCTATAAACCCAGTTAACCAACCAACCATATGACGTGTGGCAGTGTGCGGCAACACTACGGAGGTAATATAAACGATGCTAGTGGTGGTGATAGCCAGTCTTTGCTCCGCCGCTGAGCCTTAGTGTGTGAGTTTAGTGGCAACGGAGGCTTGCGTTGCCTGACCCTGAAATACCCACATTAAAACTTGGATTATACTCGCCTTGAGAGGTTCGTAGTCTGTCCGTTACGATTGTTTCTCATTATCTTGGCAATAACTGTGATTCTACGTTATTAAACGTCTTTAGGAAGAGATCCAATTCGAATGACTGAAAAATATACAGCAAAATTGTTAGTGTTTATACTGTTGTGTGTTCCGAGGTTCATCTGTAATAGTAGAGCTTTGTGTGTTCCGAGGTTCATCTGTGATAGTAGAGCTTTGTGTGTTCCGAGGTTCATCTCTAATAGTAGAGCTTTGTGTGTTCCGAGGTTCATCTCTGATAGTAGAGCTTTGTGTGTTCCGAGGTTCATCTGTGATAGTAGAGCTTTGTGTGTTCCGAGGTTCATCTCTAATAGTAGAGCTTTGTGTGTTCCGAGGTTCATCTCTGATAGTAGAGCTTTGTGTGTTCCGAGGTTCATCTCTGATAGTAGAGCTTTGTGTGTTCCGAGGTTCATCTCTGATAGTAGAGCTTTGTGTGTTCCGAGGTTCATCTCTGATAGTAGAGCTTTGTGTGTTCCGAGGTTCATCTGATAGTAGAGCTTTGTGTGTTCCGAGGTTCATCTCTGATAGTAGAGCTTTGTGTGTTCCGAGGTTCATCTCTGATACTAGAGCTTTGTGTGTGTTCCGAGGTTCATCTCTGATAGTAGGGCTTTGTGTGTTCCGAGGTTCATCTCTGATAGTAGGGCTTTGTGTGTTCCGAGGTTCATCTGATAGTAGAGCTTTGTGTGTTCCGAGGTTCATCTGATAGAGCTTTGTGTGTTCCGAGGTTCATCTCTGATAGAGCTTTGTGTGTTCCGAGGTTCATCTCTGATAGTAGAGCTTTGCGTGTTCCGAGGTTCATCTGATAGTAGAGCTTTGTGTGTGTTCCGAGGTTCATCTCTGATGGTAGAGCTTTGTGTGTGTGTTCCGAGGTTCATCTCTGATGGTAGAGCTTTGTGTGTGTTCCGAGGTTCATCTCTGATGGTAGAGCTTTGTGTGTGTGTTCCGAGGTTCATCTCTGATGGTAGAGCTTTGTGTGTGTGTTCCGAGGTTCATCTCTGATGGTAGAGCTTTGTGTGTGTGTTCCGAGGTTCATCTCTGATGGTAGAGCTTTGTGTGTGTGTTCCGAGGTTCGTCTCTGATGGTAGAATTGTCAGTGAGGTAACTGACCTGCCTCAGTGATAACTACATTTCAAGTGTCAGCTCACACTCTAGTAACAGCTCCACAGTTGTTACTCAAGTGTTAACTCAACAGTTCATACTGAAGAGTGAGCTCTACACCTTATGAAAGTGTCAGCTCACAGGTTATATTAAATTGTAAGTTTATAGATTCCTTATTACTTCACCGTAACATATTTTCCCATTATTTACCTTACCTTTCTTGCGTCCTTCACTTGTACATATCGGTTGTCCCACTTCATTTTGTGCCTGTACAGAGCTATCAGTCTATCATCTTCTATTGGTATTTATGCTCAGACATATAAACTCTGAAAGATGCGCATCTATCATTGCGTATAATCGAGAAATATCCTTTCTGATCAGGGTAGGGGCAGGGTTCGTCAGGGCAGGATGTTTACAGTTGGGTCACGAGTTACTGACAACACTTTGAAGGAGTGAGATGGATCTCGTCGCTGCCGTGTTGGTATTTGAGAGTCAGCCATGAAAATTTACATTTGCAGTCACAGTTGGGGGCCCACACTAACCTCTCTAGTGTGTAGAAATATATTTAGATGAATAGCTTATTAAATTTTGTATGGGTTTGAACCTCTGCCCATTCCCTGAGTTGGTTACAGTCGTATTGTTACTTAAGATACTCGCAATTTATATCTATCCATGTACATACTCCAAGAGGAACACACGTGTTTGTGTACATGCCCTAAAAACACATCTAACCGGAGGCATGGTCTGGGATCGGGCCGCAGGGGCAATGATATCTTCTCGTAGCCTTCCTGTAATCAGTGTGCACCTATCATGCTGATATACACATCCAGGTGTATATACCTGGGAAGACCCAATAACCACTGCACCTATGAACTAAATATAGAACGTAAGACCGGATGGGAGAGACGTTCTTGCTAACAGAATTCTCAAGCCAGAGCAACAAGTGTTTGCAGCCATGCTAATGTACTTCATATGAAGGCAGTGTATTAACCATAACCCGGCCGGGATTGAACCCGCGGTCAGAGAGTCTCAAAACTCCAGACCGTCGCGTTAGCCACTAGACCAGCTGCCGTCATGTTGACGGCAGTGAGGGGACTTGAGCTAGAGTTCGTCACGGCCACGCTAGCTGGAGATTCGTCTGTAAAAACTTGCATTTGTGGTCACAGTGGTGCCTATGCTAATCTTCCTATGGTGTAGAAATATACCTAGTTGGACGAATCTTATTGTGGCTAGCTGGTCTAGTGGCTAACGCGACGGTCTGGAGTTTTGAGACTCTCTGACCGCGGGTTCAATCCCGGCCGGGGTATGGTTTGTTTGCAACCGTGTCATTACGATTTCGTGAGTCGAATTAAGGCAGTGTATTATTTTTACGGGGAGACTCTTAAACATGTGGGGGAAGGGAGGGGGGTCATACAGCACCTGTGGAGTGAGAGGTAGATTAGATTCCATGAAGGGAGGGAACCTTCAATTCCTTGGAATGTAATAAAGTTGGTAGAATTACCGACAATATGTAAAGTAACTAATGTGACATTTATTGTGGCAACGTTTCGCTCTCCAGGAGCTTTATCAAGCCATTACAAACAATACATGGACACAGAGGGTATATAAAGGCTCAGAGTGAGGTGAATACTAGTGAGGTACCATTTCGATGTTCACTAGTGGTAGTAGTAGTAGTGACAAAAGTAATACAATATGGTAGAGCAATTAATTCGTACATGAGTAAAAGGATATAAAAGCTATTACTTGGGTAACATAAAAATAGGTTGGACAAATATAAACTGGAATGAGGCAGCTTGTTTCAGTGTTCACTCTCTGTGCTTTGTGTAGTATAACAGTCTCTCCTATGTGATGGCAGGGTTTACTGTTTTCAGGAGGATTCTTGCTAAGACTTCGGAGATGGTGAAGCTGCCGTTGTTTTGTTTGATTGTATTCGAAACAGCGATCAGTGCTGATACGAGGCACTTGCGTCTGCGGAAATTAGTTTCTTTGATCACTAATTGGGCGTCTCTGAATTTCATGAGATGATTGGTGGAATTTCGGTGTTGTACACAGGCGTTGTTCAGGTTATCGTTCCTACATGCGTAAATGTGTTCATTGAGGCGGGTGTCGAGGTTTCTGGCTGTTTCACCTACGTATATCTTGTCACAGCCTCCACAGGGTATAGTGTAAACTCCTGCATTGACTGGTTCGTGGTGCTTGGATTTCACCTCACTCTGAGCCTTTATATACCCTCTGTGTCCATGTATTGTTTGTAATGGCTTGATAAAGCTCCTGGAGAGCGAAACGTTGCCACAATAAATGTCACATTAGTTGCACTTGTGTCCTTTTACTTTACAATTCCTTGGAAGAAGAGACCTTCATCAATTTCAATATTCCCTCTCCCTTTGAGGGGTTTGGACGTATATTGAGCAAAAGTTTTAGTTACATTGAAACTCGCTACAAAAGATCATTCGATTAGACAGCGCAGTTCTGGTTTCCACATTCCTGAACGAACAAAAATGCGCTGAATATGAGAATAACAAAATTATTCTCTTCCTCAGAGGCGAAAAAAATTAACTAGTACCTCATGGATTCTGGATTTGAACCATTTAGACACTGCGGTCAAATTTTTAAAACTTTTGCGGACGTAATTATTTTACTCGGCCACTTTTGTACTGCACCCGTATCCAGTACCATTCTACTATAGTCAGTGGAACTTTCTCGGGGAAGCCAGCCACAGAAATACAAAAATTACTTAGTGATTACAATTCAGTTTTTGTGATTTTTTTCTCACGTGGGTTTCAAAGAGTGTGAAATTAGCCTAAAAGGAATCTCGAGTATAATTTTGGTCTTTCAAAAAAGTTTACAATACATTATCAAAGAAAAGAGCTAGCTCACGACTTCGAAGAAAGTAGAACGCTACAAATAGGAACTAGCAGATTTATATAATCCTTCGTAATAAAATGGCATGTCACTATGGATAATGTATCCTCATTTTACGTCGGCTAGATGAACGAACTGACTGCACTGATGACACTTAGGACCAGTGTTTTATAGTGGTAATAAAATACCAAATTGTATGACTCTTATTCTGTGCTGTGAACATTAGCTATATGAAGTAATTGTAATATATGAAATGACAACATTTTTGTGTAAAGTAAAAGGACACAAGTGCAACTAATGTGACAATTTATGTCACATTAGTTGCACTTGTCCTTTTACTTTACATATTGTCGGTAATTCTACCAACTTTATTACAACATTTTTGTGATATAACAGTGTTCAGTGTGGTCTGATAAAAGCCCACTAAGACCTTTTGTAATCCTGTCCTTTGTGCTGCCACTCACGGGATGAGCATTTGAGTACACAAGAAACTAACCGCTCAGGAAACAACTACTAAAATCTTCTTTGGTAGTTTTTTGTACATCTCCAACTCATCCTGTGAGAGGTAGGACAATTATACGTATCACATGATAAAAATTTTTGATCAGACCCAGCGAACAGTGTTATAAGTTCAGATGTTGCCGAATAAAGTCATTGATTAGATTAATTACTATCTCTCTCTTCGTTTTTTATTTATCTTGTTGATGCAAAATGTAGATGTAATTTCAAGGTGTCAGGCTTCTTATAAGCAAAAATTATTTCTCCCTGGTACTTGTGCTGTTACTTGATATTTTTGGCACTTACACAGCGTGAGTGGGGATACTAACACTTGAGAGACGTAGGAAAATTTCGGCTGCATCTTAGGTTTTTGAACAGTATTTGGGTTTTCCCCTAAACCGCGCGGTATTGGGTGCCTCTGTCCTTGAGCAACACTGCAAAATAAAGAATTACAAGGTCCCGAAGGTTTTGTTATCATTCCCAGCACTTTTTTCTATTGCTATGGGTGTGG